GGCGGTGAAACCACTGAGCTAAATCCCCAGCCCAGAGCTGCCTGTTTTGAAACCTGCTTAACTTCTACTAACTTCCAAGGTAAGTCCAAACTCTTAGCATTGGTTGCATGGTAACTGCGATAGCTGTGGTAATCATCTCTCTACATCCTTCCAATTAACATCCCAAATCTTACTCTTTGTTTTTGTCTATTTGAGATGGGCCCTTACTATGTTGCCCAGCCTGGTCTCAAATTCCTGGGCTCAAGTGATTCTATTGCTCAGCCTCCTTCCTGAGTGCTGGGACTGCAGCTATGCACCATCATGCCTGGCTACCACAAATCTTCCCTTTAATAAACATCCTCTCAACCCTCAAAAAAGAGTCACCTTCTCAGGCTTCTGTAGGTTCTGCATCTTCTTAGATGGACCACTGCTTACCCTTAATTCCTACTCTTTTTTGTTTTGTTTAGTGGAGACAGGGTCTCACTATGTAGCCCAGGCTGACCTCAAACTCAGTGATCCTCTGGCCTCAGAGCTCCCCAGTGCTGGGATTATAGGCATGTGCCACCACTCTTGGCTTCCCACTTATATTTTAAGACAGCAATGAAAATCACACAAAAGGGGAAATTGCCTGACTCTACAAGACTGGATACTCTCAGCAAGAACTCCAATGCTCTGTGCTTTCACCCCCACAACATTTATAATCTGCACCTTGATTTTCTCCAAATTTGTTGTCCAGGACAGGACTGTTTCTTTTATATTCTAGAACACTGCTTGTCAAACATTAGTGTTCAAAAAAGTTTTTGATACTCCTTGTAAAAGGGACTTACTGGGCACAGTGGAAATTGCAATCTGCCGTTTCTCTTATGGCCTCAATGCAGTCACTCCCTGCATACCTGTCAGTCCAACTTCACATTGCTTCTGGCAAAGCCCTTCCTTCCTTAGAAGCTTTGGTCTCCGTGTTACCTGTGATAGGAGGTCCAAAATCATGGATTTTACTTTCAAAAGTTTGGATCTGCTTGATCTGTTTATTTCCAGTCAATGTTCTTCCTTATTTCTATACACTTCACATGTTCTGTCTTCAGGTTTCCTGTTGAAATTCTACCAATCCTGTCAAGATCCTAAGTAACCATTTCCTCAGCTGAAGACTTCATTGGCTTTTCAAATACATAGTGAGCATATGCTTTACCATTATTTGGGCACTTATGTGCCATCTTATTTAAATGTAACCATTTCCTGTGTAGGCTTTATCTCCTCCACACAATGGCTTACGTTCCAGAGAACAGGAATCATAGCATATCTTTTGGTATCTCAGTCTAGCAATAATTTTTTTTTTTGGTACTGGGGATTGAACTCAGGACCTTGCACTTGCCAGGCAGGTGTGGTGCTGCTGAGCTACATCCCTGGTCCTACAGCAATAATTATTTAAAAAATTATTTTTAGTATTGGCTATTGAACCAACCCAGGCGCACTGTACCACTGAGCTGCATCCCCAGCCCTTTTTTTTTTTTTTTGTGCTGAGGATCGAACTCAAGACCTCGTGCTTCCAAGACAGGTGTAGTGCCACTGAGCTAAATCCCTGGCCTCCCTTTTTATTTTTTGAGACAGGGTCTTGCTAAGTTGCCCAGGTGGGACTCAAATTTGCCATCTTCCTGCCTCAGCCTCTCTTCAGTGCTGGGATTAAAGATGTATGCCACCACATCTGACCAATTATTTGACTTTTAAAAGCAATAAATCATGCCATTAAAATGAAGATGCAAATGTAGAATTTGGCCTTTAATCTAAACACCTTATAAAAACATGATTAATCATTAGCTGTATAGTCTTCTGCAGAGAAGAATATAAACCGGGGAGATAAATCAGATGGTTAATGGTGTTATGGATGAGTGAGTTCGAACAATAGAGATGCGCCACACTCTGTGCCAGATTCAAGCCTACTATAGCCAGTGGCCGAGGGGGGCTAGTGCCCAGAGTTTCCTCAGCAGTGAGCAGCAGTTTAATTTCTCCTTTTAAATCATGCTTTCAGTCGGGGAGGGCTCAGGGAAGAGCAAGTGAAATCTTACAGACGCAGAACTATGTCAGGTTAGTGGGGGACACAGGGAAGTTTCACACACTAGGGGAGCTACAAAACATCGTGTGACTGCAGCAAGTTTACCCCCAAGCAGGATGTAGGGGTTTTGGGTGGTTTGTTCAAGCACAAGCACTTTGTTCAAGCACAGGTACAAAATGGCATTGAGGCACAAGATGTTGTCGGGTTGGCTATTACAATGGGTGTGAGAATAGTTTTACTTGCAGCAAGTCATTATGAAAAGGTTCAGCATGTCATCATTACATTTTCCCAAGGCATTATCTATTTCTCCTCCATCATCATCATCATCATCATCATCATCATCATCATCATCATCATCATCATCATCATCATCATCATCATCATCATCTCTGTGGTGCTAAGGATCAGGGCCTCACAAATGCTAGGCAAACACTATTACTCTTGAGCTACATCCCCAGCCCAGTTATCATCCTGCGGATACAGTCCTGTAGAAAACTACAACAGTATCCTATAACATTGTTGCAGATTGTAAAGCTGGATACATGAGTCAAAAGGAAAGAGAGCGGGCTGGGGATTTAGATCAGTGGAGCCGTGCCTGCCTTACAAGCACCAAGGTCCCGAGTCCGATTCCCGGTACCAAAAAAAAGAGATACTGGTAATCTATTATTCCCCAAATAAGTGTTAAGAGGACAACAGATCCTATGGGAGTAGGCCTCATCTGGGTAAAGTGGCTCAGCATTCTTTTCAACATGCTTGGCCCACAGACGGATACAGAGTTGTGCTGCAGGACACCTAGCCAACACACCAAATTTGCAAAACACGGTGTCGAGCTGGCTACGGTGGAGCATTCCTGTAAATACAGCTGAGAGGTAGAATTGTTTATTTGAACCAGCTTGGGCAATTTTATGAGACGTTGTTTCAAAATAAAAAATTAAGAAAGGTCTAGGAATGTAGCTCAGTGTGAAGACCCTGGATTGAATCCCTAGTACCACAACCCCCCCCAAACAATGTACTGCCCCTCATGAACTCATATTTTGTCATTAAGCCTGTAACTGGGTGTGATGGTACTCACCTGTAGCCTCAGTTTCTTGGGAAATTGAGGCAGGAAAATTGCTTGAGCACCAGGAATTTGGGACCACGGGGCGGGGGAGATTGCCTTCTAAAAATAAAAATAAAAATAGTTTCTCTAGTGTGAGAAACTGTAAAAAAGCACTAAAAGGGTTGGGGATTTAGCTCAATGGTTCTACCGCCTGCCTTGCAAGAGCAAGGACCCAAGTTCAATCCCCGGTACCAAAAAAACAAGAAAGGACTAAAAGGTTTAACAGATAATGTGAAACAGGAAGAAAAGGGGCAAAGGGGAAGCAGAAGTGGGAGGGGTAGGGGAAAGAAGGGAATGGAATATGAGAAAATTAAAATGAAAACAAAATCTTTGTAAATGGGGAGGGATGGAGGGGTTGAAGGGAGGGCAGGAGAATGGGGAAAAAATAAGAACCAAGAGAGATTATGTAAAGGTGCAAATTTCCAATGATGAATGTCATTATA